AGGTCTCCTGCATCCTCAGTGGTTGCCCTCAACACCGGGCTCAATGGGCACGTTGCACATCCAGGATGCAGAAAACTATTTGAAAAACTATTCCTGGACATGGTTCACCTTCTCTTCCCTGGGTGTACTTTGAAAGAAGTCACATTTGGTCTCTTTTAGTTATATTATTATGCACTTACCTACAAAACAAAACTTGGGGGTCTTCAGGGTGAAGCATTATCTGTGCTGCTTAGCATGCTGTATAAACAGCAAGGAAAAGCAGGGACTGAAGATGCACAAAGCTTCCCCTGTTCCCTTCTGGCTGAGGTAGCGGGTTGCCACGTGGTAAGCTGTGGGAGGTAGGTCCCCACCTACCGCCCCCAGTCTTCACATCCACCCCAAAGATCAAGACTGCCATGTTCAGCACTGAAACCTTCAAAACACTTTTTGGATCTCAACCCTCATGGGCAACGTTCACAAGTTCTCCTGCCTGACCTAATCCCAGAGAAAGATTTTGGCTTGATCCACTTGCCGCCAGCCAGACCCGGGAGCAAGGTCTGGTCACCACAATCTGACCTTGTGCGAAGTGTTCCTGACGTGTCACATGCCCTTGCACTTGCCAAACTCCTCAGCAGATGAGGTAGCTTCCATATTTCAGTACTTACTGGCAAGCTTCTAGTGGTTTGTCCAGAAAGGTTCTGAATGACTGAAGATCTCTCTGAGCTGCGTCATTGCCACTGCTTGGTTACTGGCCTACACAAGCATAACAACATGGGAACAAAGAATCTGGCAAAACAAACTCCTCTGCTCCCTGTCTTCTAATATTTAGCTTTGCTTTTGAGATGAAAGAAGCACTAATCCCTATTTGGATCCCTCTCATTGCCTGATTTAGGATTTTTTTTAACGTTTACTGACAAGAACAAGCCTTCCACTACGACTTATTAAGCTTGCTTTCCAACTGCTGTGCAAATACAAGCTGATTCACCGTTACCAACACACTAAAAAGACTTGTTATCCTGATCTTACAGGTAACAAATCTGGATCAGCAAGTTTTGTACTATATAAGCAGGATAAAACCCACAATATAGGCCCTGCTTGCCAAAGCACGTGTGGCCAGAAGACGAGGATCGCTGCCTCCCTTTCTGGATGAATAACTCTTTAAGTTCTATATTACAACCTTAAAAAAGCCTCTTTCCCCAGCTTTCGTATCTGCATATGCTAACCAGCCCGTTCCTGGAGCGCACATTCAGTCAAGCTTATAACCTTTAGCTTTCCAGACAGATCATTTGCTATTATTAACAGAGATAACACATAGAAAGCAAGCAATTTTGGAAGCTACCTCTCCTCTCCTTCCTCCCATGTTTTTGCAGTCTCAGGGTATCCTGGCACCCTGCAGTGCAGCAGAGAGTTAAGAGAAGGGATGGCCCCCAGGGAAGAAGCATTAAGAGCGTGGCCACTGCCAGCACTGCATCTGACTTCCGTATCACCTACAAATGGAAATGGAGCATACACGCACAAACTAGAGGAAACTGCTGCAAGATTTGACTGTTCAGTATTAGTTTTGCGTCATTTCTGGTAACTGTCAAAGTATCATCAAGAGTATTTGAAGACAGACTCATAAATAGGGTGCGTTTCAAAGTGATCCTGCAGAAACCAGTCAAAAACAGCAGGAAGAGTTCTCAGCCGCCATCTGATGTGTTCCTTCACCACTTCTCACTAGCCCAGCTTGGTCTGCCACCAGAGAGAACAAGAAGTATTCCTCAGCAGCAAAAAACCACACGGAATTCTGATTCAGACCAGTAAGACTTACTTAGAGAAAAAGAAAAAGGAAGTCCCGGTTATCAACTCTCATCTTATTTAAGTATTTGCAAAGCTCCATTCTCACACTCCAAAGGGGCTTTCTTCTGGCCTTTCAATCACGATCTTCTCCCCTCTACGAAATCACATCTACTGCCAGCTCTTTGGGGTCCTTTCTGCCAAAACTGACTCCATTTGTCCGTTTTACACCATCAGAAAGCAGCAAGAGCCCCATCCACTATTGCAGCCTTCTCCCAGACCCTGTTTGGGGACAGCTAGCTCACACTTCCTCAAAAAGTACTGTACCGCGATAGCAATCGGTGCGAGGAGCCAGAAAGAACATCTGGCTGCGTAGCTACACATTGCATGAGAAGAAAGAGAAATTTTCAGACCACAGGAAGCAGGATGTTTCTTCTGCCTCCATTTTCTGCACGCATGTGAATTTTAAGCAAACTCCTCCCATCTCAGAAAGGGCAGTTTAGGTGATTCCCAAGCCAACCCACTCATGCTGGGGATTAAGAATAATTGCTACCTCAGCTGCCTCTCCTTCACAGTATAAACTAAGCTCATTATACACCAAAATACATAACATTCTCCATCCTTGGAGACATGGACTCTCATCTGAGGTCCTGCCATACTCTCTCCCCTATCACTTTTGTCCACGAACAGACACAGCCCCCCGCTTTGTTTTCCTAAGTGGATGTCAGGTAAGAACTGTAATGTTAGGGTTTTTTTTTTTACAGTGTCAGTTCTTTCAGTACAGATCAGAATAGTTTTCCAGATCCTGGCCTGTGCCTAAATTTGAAAAGCAACTCCAAACTGAAAGGGGAGGTTGGTTCGCCCTGCCACGGCCAGAGCACATTTTCCAAACAGCTCTGTTTAAAGAATCATCAGTATGAGACAACCTGGGAGCAGGACTGGCTAACCACCTCCTGAATTCAGCACCTTTTCCTGCACAGCCCGTTCTGCAGGGAGCAAGAAACGGCAGTTTGACACACCACGCGCTGTAAAGCGCAGGACGGGCACTGCGGTACGTTTCCTCAAAACGAGACTATGTAATATTTATAGGCACTTGGCTGCCCTGCTCATTCAGCATCCACCCCCCTTGCTCCCCTAAACTGGCTGACCGCTGTCCCATCACCCCACAGGACTACTTCTCACCAGTGAAGCAGCAAGCAAGCCTGCCGGAAGGACTGCTACAGGCAGCACCGGCCTCGGGAGCTTCAGGCAGCGATGGAAAAGCAAGCTAGGGTCTAGAGAAGGACACCAAGTCGCTCGGGAGACTCGATCTCTTTTCAGCATAATTTCACATGCACACATTTCACATGCACACATTTCACATGCACAGAAGTTGTTTGTGGATGCATTATGCCAAAATATAAGGCTAGTAATTTTTCTTGTATTTCATGGCTCCCTAACTCCGAGGACAACTCGTTACCGTGACACGAAGTGACCTCTTACCACAGAGAAGGGATATGAACACCTGGATGAATGAGTCATTTAGGTCAAACTCTTTACAGAACTGAAGGATGCCGCATCTCCAGATGGAAAAAGTGGCACAGATATTCTTCACTGCAGGACAGTGAACACCTCTTGGGGATATTTCTCAGCAAATGGTCTGTAACGGCATAGACCACAGTCTGAAATTAAGTATCTCTTTGTTATGACGTTTGTTCTTTCCCCTCTAACCATCTGTGAAACCGTATCCAACTAATTCCTTCCGGGGTGCTCACAGAATGACATGTTTTGAGAAGCACAGAGCAGGTGCTGAGATTGGAGAAAGACACAAGGAAATCTTTCACAAAGATCTGCAAAGTGAAACTAGAGACCTACCAAGCTAATGCACTCTGTAAGCTTCAGCACAGCTTGCAGTACAGTGGACACAGCTTGATGGGGCTGAGGCAGAATGGAGTTCATCAAGAGACTCCACAGAGGCTCTTTCACCATCCCAAGCCAACGTCTCCCACTGTCTGATGTGAATCCCTTTAGCGCAGCTCCGCTGGAAGCGGCAGCTCCCCGGCTGGCTCAGTGAGCTCTGGCACTTCACCCCTAGCTTAGAGGCACCACGGCGAATGATCAGGGGTTGAAAACTTGCCTAGATGGTAGTGAGCAAACTCCAAAGAATTTTAACTGCTTGTGCGCAGCGCATTTGGGTGAAAATCAAATGTACAAACAAGCAAGTCTGATTTCCGAAGAATGGCTAACAGCTCTCGGCTACGTGACTTTTAACAGAGTCAAAGCGAGGGCTGGTGGCCAGATGACAGAATTCCCTCGGTAACACTGCCATATCATAGGGTATTCAGAATATTTCTTTGCAACTCCCTTTATTAAATATCATCTTCGACACAGAATATTTAAGTACAAATAGTTTAAAAGCTCTGTTTCAGTTATTCTTACAGAAGTTTTTGGTTTAGTCCTTGTTACAGCAGCTCAACATTGCCATTTAAGGAATAAATCTTTATCAAATCGCAGATTTCTCGCTGTGCGGAGATCTGTTCCATACAAAGAAGTCATAAGATTAGGCACTGGAAAATGCCTATAAAAACCATGAAAACTCTGAATTCCGATCGTCGGTTAATAAAGAAATTTAACAATTGTGTCACAGACACATAATTCTTAACAAATGAAGTAGCAAAATAGGAAAATGCATCCTCTAAAGCTTATAAAAGTCATGGCAGTGCATACAAGTACAGCAAAAGGGAGGACACGCCTCAAGCACAGACGCTTCGCTACCATGTTGAAGCTTCAGCACAGCACTGCCCAGCTACCCCTGGAGCTCCGAATGCTACTGCCAGAATGGGGAATTTGTCGAGTAACACCCGTGTAGTAACTGGCACGACCCACCCAGATGGGGTTCTGCCCCACAAAAATCAGACGGCACAACCAGCTTTTGCTTTGACTTCTGTCTGCCACAGCTGCTGCACAGCCTGCCTGAGACCAGACGGTTTCCTTCATTTTATTTTTTTCTATGTAAGCCAATAATCTCATTTTTTACACTAGTGAACAGTAAATAAATGTTTCTTTGGATCAAAAGATAGCTCCTATAGGTGCAGACATTCTCATTAAATAGATTAGGCTCATCAGGTACCCGGATTAACAAACCTATCGGCACAGGGAAGATGAAGGGGACACAGGACGTGCCCTCGTTGCGCGGCTGTCGAGCACCCATCTCTCTTACGATAAGCATTTCCATCAGAATCCTTAAGTCGTAACCCAAACGCTACGTAAGGGGTTGCTTGAGGTCAAACAAACCAGTCCCTCCTTTCACAACTTTCCCAACCACCAGGCAGGCAGAGGGGGATCGCAGTTCATCATGGGCACCTGTAAGGGAATTCAAACACAATCCTGTCAGGGGGTTTCCAAAGGCTTCTCAAAGGTCAGTGCTAGAAAGAAAGCGTTTTGGTTTACAGGCAAGAAGGCATCTGGGTCAGCCCCCCCCCCTCGTTTCAGAAAGGCACTGCCACCTACTGCCCAGATTGAATCTGTGTTTCTGAGAGCAGGAGTCCAAAAATTCTTCCTACCCCTCCTGCCACAACTGTTATCTCACTCACCCCTTTTTGTGCAAGCAAAGAATTAGGCCCCGCGTTACTAAACTCTCTCTGTTCAGCACGAAAAGACAACACGTTCTGAATTCTAAGAGAACACAGATTTGACCTTCCAGTGAACACATTCTGCTGATTAAACAGATCGCTAAAAAAACACATCAGTGAGGCAAACCCCAAAAGATTCTCTTTTCATTGCTGCCTTTTTCCTTTGTTAGACTGAATACTTTTGATGTGGATTTTAAATCCTTTGGGCTAGATGCGAGGAGAACTTTTCACTGGAGAGACATTCCACGAATTCCTTTGATTTTGTGGTTACTCACTGTAGCGAAATAGTGTCACAGAAATTTGGAAGCTCTCCAGATGACATGTCTGGCTAGGACTGTTTTGCTTTTGCTGTTTTTATAAAAGTCCAGGCTGTTTTTCATTCATCCTAACTACAGCAAGCTGGAATTTTGTCATTAGAGGAAGACTGGAAATAAAATCATTAAAACTTTTGATAAGTTTGGGTCATCTTTATTAGCAAAACCTACTGAATTTTCTGTCACACAGAGGAAGGGAGGGGTGGAGCTGCACCATAGCACCGTGTATGGCATGTGCCTGCTGCTCTGATCTCAGCTCCAGCTGAATAACTAAATAGCTGCTCCTAAATGTGTGTCAGCTGAAGAAAGGAAAAAAGCTCCTTTGTTAGATCATTAAAACAGTCGTAACTGTCCCGTTTGCTCACATGGTGTTAACAAAGAGTTATTCTTCCAGCAGACAGCCGAAGGGATCTCACGTCTGATGCAGCATGCCCTCTGCACCCTAAACCCCGACCAGCGCTCTGCTGGGTCCCACCTGCACTCTAACGGCACTCCCCACGGTAGCCCTGCGCAGCCGCCAGCCGCCTTTTTGCTGCCTTACTGCTCAGGCCATCAGCAGGCACCTCTGCAGCATCTCTTTAACTGTACAGTCAAGTTATCAGTTACGTTAAAGCAAATTAGTTCCAGATTGCTGCAATCCACATGATGACTCTCATTCCCATCCTGGTGAAATCAGTACCTCCCTCCACTTGTAATCGGTGTGGTTTTCCTGCCCATTCACCGGGCGCTTCTGTCAGTGCCCACTTCATGTCTTTATTCGGAACATTATCCATAAATAGAGCTACGTTTCACCTGGCAAAAGCCTTATCTTATTTCTAAGTCAATGTGTGATACAACATAAAACCAGAGAGCGTGCACAGGTGCGCACGAAACATCCTCTTTGTTCAATTTCACCCGGGATTTACACTTTTCCTTCCTGATTTTCAGGTGAATTTTAAGTCAATTGTAACCAACACTATTCATTAAAACCCAAATTACCTTCCCAGAAAGGGTACAGAGCAGCATTAATAAAAATAAATTTAGTGATAAAAGTATCTCTGCCACCTGTGCAAGACAGTTTAAGGTCCTAGCTGAAAAGATCAGGTTGAGAGCTTTTCCCATTTGTAACAGGTAGCAAAGGTGGCAGCACAGGAGCATCCAAGAAGAGCAGGAGTACCCAACTGGTAAGTGACAGAAGCCAAGGCTATTTGCAAAAGGAAGCCACAGTTAGTACTCAACGCACGAGATCAAGCAAGCTGTCTACTCACAGAATCACAGAATGTCAGGGGTTGGAAGGGACCTCAAAAGATCACCTAGTCCAACCCCCCTGCCAGAGCAGGACCACCTACAGCAGGTCACACAGGAACACGTCCAGGAGGGTTTTGGATGTCTCCAGAGGAGGAGACTCCACAGCCTCCCTGGGCAGCCTGTTCCAAGGCTCTGCACCCTCACAGTGAAACAGTTTTAAAGCACAAGTTTTTTGGCTAAGACTGCTCCATGCAGACGGCCAGTGCCATTTCAAATGCCCTAAATGATCCGTGCAGCCACGTGGTGTCCACACCTTCCAGAGCAGCAGAGGCCAGAAAGGATACTCTTGGGCATCTCAGATAGCACCAGAAACCTACCATTAGACAAACGAATCTGACTCTTTGTCTGTGTTTGAAGGAAACAAACCAAGATAAAAAAGTGCTACAAAGTAGAGGAAAAAACGGAATCAAAGTAACAACCAGGAGGACTGTTCTCCCAATAAAATCCTGAATAGCAAGGTTAGAGAAGAGATGAAAATATGGAAGTTATAATAGAGACATGAAAACAAAGCAGAGATGACAATTTTAATAGAAGAGACAGAAAAAGGCAGATTTAGTAGTCTGCTATAAAGCTTTGCGGTAATAAATCTTAACAATCTTAAGGTTTGTTATAAAAATGCCTATCAAATTCTTAAAGAAAGGAGTCACAGACCCCACAAATTACATGTGGGAGCTGACTTCATTTAAGCTGACAGAACTTTATTAAAAACATCTGGAACACTCTCCTAGGCAAGGGCTTAATTAAAATTTTAGCCTCTGGCATTTTTTATAATGCAATTATGCATTACTCAAAGTAGTGGAAGGTTACGACGAAAACAAAGCATATGTGAAATGCTGCAGCAATATATTTCAAACTAAACCATTTACCCATCATTGTTGCTTCCTTCAAGAATTTGTAGCTGGTTTCAAATGTCATCTGTTGCAGAGGGGAGGAGTTGGACTGAATTCCAAAACGATTCAGCGGTTTATAAAATCCTTCAAAACACATGTAATCTGCCACAAGTGAGAGGTGCCGAGGGTCGACCACAATTCCTGAGAACACAAGGAAGAGCAATCATCAGAGCATTCAAGGGCTAAGGTGTTGTGGGTTTGGGTTTTTTTTTTAATAAATCAGGTCTAAATTAAACGCCCTGAATCTAATCAACATGGAGAACATCTCTGTTAACATTCCTCTGGCAGTTGCACCTCTTTGTGCGTAGCTGGCTTAACTGCTGCCCTCAAACGTTCAAGAGAGTCAGCCCTCACTGTAATATAAAACAGTATCTCTCCAGGGAAACTAAAATGTCAGGAATGCTGTAAGGCAGCAGAGTTTCTCTACAGAAAGCAGCAAGGTCTGCACCATCTTTGTCGGTGCAGAAGGGGATCATACATACATCCATCTGTGACAGGACGGAGCTCTAGCCCCTCACCTGGTGGCCTGCACTAGCCCGAGTCAGAGAGGTTCTGATATGTTCTTTGTGTGGTATGAGGCATGTACAGGCAACCCCATTTAGGCTAAAAAGAAATAGCTCTTGTTTTAAATAACATTTGTGGAGTCAGTGTAACGGGGGATCATTAACAGCTCTGTCAACATTTACCTAGCAGTTCTTGAACAACCTGAAGGTCAGACCATTCCGCACCGCCAGCTGGCAAATCTGTTTGATATAACTGGTTGCTAAAATTCCCACTGTATTAATCTTCCCTCTTTTCAATAGTTTAATTCACAGCAAGCCTTACCTCACTGAAGGCAAATTCAACATGCCTAACTTTAGCAGCCCACGAGGTCCGGCATCTTCCCTAAGCTAGTTGCCCGGACTCTCTGAATAAACTATGCAGAGAGAAGAACATCCAGACAACGCAGCACAGCTATTTTAGGAAAGACGGACAAACTCAATTACAAAGGGAGCCTAGACTCCCATGGTTAAAGAGCTAGAGTGGGGCAAGGTTAATCCTATTCTCGGGGCCACTATACAAGCCTGAGAAAGCTAACTGTTAGACATCAAGAGTTAATTCATCTGGACCTTCCAGCTTGCAAAGAAAAAAAATGAAATACCAGAATAGAAAGGCTCTATGAAGGGGGAGATAAATTCAACCTTGTTCAGTGAATTTTCTACTGATTAAATGGAACCTAACAATTAACTTATGAAGAAGGCACTATAATGATTAAAATGATGAAAAGGTGCAACTTCAAAATACACATATGAAAAAAAATGATGCAAAACGGTAACTTTGTAAGCACGATGGATGGGTTTTCCTATCTTAATGATGATAATAAAGACTACCTTTAAAAATACAAAGAAATCTTACCATATACAGCAAATACATCTTTTATTTCTTTTATAATCACCCTCAGGGCAGACTCAATTCCATAATTCTTAGCCATGGCATGAATATCATTGGAATAAAGTCTGTTCAGATCCAAAATCTGAAAGCAAAAAAAACACAGATACAAATTAGGGCAGTAGTTACTCTGTATTTCCAAATCACTTCAGCTAAGCTAACAACCTTCTTCTCCATTTTTCATTAGCTGAAGTAGCACCAACAGTTACAGAACAGCCAGGCAGCAGCTCAGACAAAAGTGATTCTGGGGATTTATGGTGAAGCTAGGGATCACAGCATCATATACATGAATAAGAGTACTGGAATCAAAACTCACCACAGGAGAAAGTGATCTGAAATTAGAAAAAGCAAACAAACAAACCATCCCAAGCAGCAGAGGAATGTGTTAAAGTCTTCCAAGCAACACAATGCAATGCCCAGTCTGTCTCAGCAGGCCAGAACTTTTAGCAAAAGCAGTAGAGATGTAGCTTAAAACAATCCTGTAGAGTTATGGGCTAGATGGCCTAACAGAACTATCCATCTCCAAGTACTGCAATTCATTTAGATGGAAGAACTCCCTCAAGGAACGTTTGGAGAGACATTTAGAAGCGCAGTGTGAAATTATCTGTCATTAGACACTGGGCTGCTGCACAAAAAGTGATTTGCAAGCTCCCCTTGAGAAAAGGCTCTGCTGAGCTCTGAACACGTCTGGGGGTAAAAAGGAGGAAGAAGAGAGTTTAAGAACTGAAAAGGCTACACATCACCCCTGCTAAATGCAAATGGCATCTGGCATCCGCTGTCTCTCCCCAGAACACAACAGATCACTCGAGTTCGGGATGATAAATAGGTTACATACATCCGAGTAACGGAACAGCTCCGTGAGGTTGATCCCCTCGGTGTGCAGAACGAGTTCCTTCTCCCCGTGCTTGCTGGTACTTTCATTCAACAGGCAGCGTGTGATCCCCTTCACCTCGTGAATGACCGTGCTTCGTGCGAGAGAGACAAGCAAGGAGGAGAGATCGAAGTACACCTTCATCAACGGAAGCGTCAATGAAACCTAAGAGGAAAAAACCCAGCGTAGTGCTGTCCTGTAAGGAAGCTTGGACACGAGGCTCAATAACCAGCCTGCTTCTTTTTAGGGGAAAAGTAGACAACTGGAATTATCTTAGTTGTGTGTTTAGGAACGTAAATGTCTGACTAGAATTACAGTCTATAATGCTAACATGAACAGCAGGATCATTCATCCAGATTGCTTTCAAGATCTCTGAACTGATACTGATTGGGTTTTTTTGGGTGGCTTTTTTGGGGGGGTGGGGAGGGGAGTGGGGTATGTGTTTGTTGTGGTTTTTCTTTGGTTTTTTTGAAATGTTTAGACTTTTTCAACAGTCCAGCCATCACTTTTAATTCACCAAGAGCTACACAGTGGTGCATCATATATTAAAGATTAAACCACAATAAACGTGTCAAAACCCTAAGTTTCATCAGGCATTCTGAAAGTTAGAAGCTACTAAAAATTATGTCAAGAAATACATTTGTACTGCCAGTTTTCTGTATTAATACAGGATTGCTGAAACAAAACAGCAGCACTGCACTGAAAAGATCCGTTTGTTACGCGAGCTACATGCAACCATTGCGCAACCACACGCAGATGTTTCCAGGCACCACCATCTCACCTCACACCAAAGCTCATTTTCGGTGTCAAATGTGTAATCCTGTATCGATGGGTGGCTGTCCAGGACAGCATTCACTCGCAACTCTGCTGACTGAAGTAACTGATCTTTCTCTGATTTAGTCTGAGGCATGAAGGAAAGATGTTGAAATTCATCACCATCTGCTCCATTCTGATCTTCTTCGGGACCGGAAGTCCTTTCTTTTTCTGATTCAGCCTCTTCATCTTCTAGATTCTCCTCAACGTTTTCTTCCCCATTCTCTTCTTCGCTCTCATAATCAACCTGCAAAGAAATAATGTTATATTTATCTGAGCCAGCACGTGTACAGAAACAAAGTGCACCACGATCAGTTTTATTCATGAACACTCTTGACAGTTGAGTTGGAAGGATCTCACCTATGACACAATGAAAACGCAGCTCTGTCGTAAAGAAAACAACACAACAGATCCGGTTTAGTCTCTGTTTCTTTATAACCTTGCCATTATTCCTCAATAGTCTGGGATGCTACAGGTTATTGGGACTGTAGCAGAATTTCATTTTCTCCTCCCGAAAAAGGCTCTTCCCATGGCCCAACTCTGATGATGGGATTCTCTCAGGATTTTCAATTACTCTACCCTCTTGCTGAAATTACAGCAACCCACCTTTTAAGCAGTAATTATGAAGTAATGAACACAGAAAAACATGCAGAGCCAGGCAGAATATTTATTAAGAGTCACAGTAAAGTTTTAAGAACAATTAATGGCATGAACTTAGCAAGAGGTAAAGTTAAGGTGACCTACAGCACAGACAGCCGGACTGCCAGACACATTTACACAGTGCCTGAAGAACAAGGCTCCAGAAAAACCCAGATCTCTTCCATCTCTAACTTGCACGGGCCTGTATTACCCCTAAAGGACAGCAGTGATCAGGCTCAACTACGATGACCAACATCATCACAAGTCTCAGCCCACATCTTCTGCTCTAGTCTTCCCCCCCATCCAAATCAAAGCTGACCAGCACAAAGCAGAGACTTTCCAATCTCCTTTCAAGTGGGGTTTGGGGTTTTTTCAGCATTTTGTTTCAATGGAAGCTCTCCTTCCCAACTCAAACCAAGGCAAAGGGGAATACAAGTGCAGTGCTGAGCACCTATAAAATCATCACCTCTTCTTCCTGGTTCTTCCTCCGTTTCGCTTCTGTAGCATCGCCATCCCCTTCATCAGCTTCTGCATCAACAATGTTCTCTTCTTCCTCTGCTGGAGCTTCCTGATTATTCTGGGTCTAGAAATCCATGACAGACCAGATAATCAGGCTGACTACTAAGAAGCATCAACTGCATCAAAAGGCTTTAGCCAAACATTTGGGATTTAACAATCCCTTCCTCTAGGTTCTACTTTTAAGGACAACTTAATTTCTATAAGCCCCCCACTACAAGGAAATAATGAATTTACATTCACGATAACTTTAACATTAAACAAGATAAACGTCTACAAGAGAGAGAAGCTATCAGACTGCTTACACAGCAGACCTTGATGGGAGAGGAGCGGCAGAAGGAACGTGCAAAAACCTTTCAGTGAAAAAATAGGATCTTCCCCACAGTTTTGACAACCACTGCTACATTGATCTGGCAGCCAATGGAGAGTAATATGCTTTTATATCACTGAAGCCAAAATAAACAGGCACTTTTGGAGCACAATTCAATTAGGATTTAATACACAGCAACTTTAATATCCTTGTTAATTTTATGAGATCACAAAGAAAGTTTATGCATAAAGAAAATATTTAAGATGTAATTTAGTATTCACTCGTTTCATGTTCACATTGAAACATTCTACGCTTTTCCAAATTCTGGCTCTCAAAAACAGGTAAAGGAAGTGAGGCATTTTTCAGGTAATGTTCTTTATACCTTGTCTTGGTCACTGTCTAAATCTTTCCGACTTGCCTTCCGCGCGCTGACTTCACTAAAAGACGCCATCTTTGCGCTCTTCCTTTTAATCGCTTCCAGAAAAATTTTAAAGAACCTGAAAGAAGCAGCACCCCAGAATGTCAACGCTCAGCAGTACCGCAGCCAATTTCAAGTTGTCAGAAAATGGATTTTTTTTGTTTAAGAAGCCAGTCAACTCATGAGAGGACATAGTGTCTAGTGGATGCAAAAGTACCTCTAGGACAAGGCAAGTAATTTTTCTTCTCATCCCTTTCCCGTTCCCGTAGGAATCAACAGGCTGGTATCATCTCTCCCAGTCACAGATGCAGCCATGCATCCAGAGCTTAAAAAGATGAGCTCATCTGGACATAAAATCTGCACATCAGATTGACCTTCAGAGGAGATTGTTTACCTACCACTGGACTTTGTTCTTTTTTAAACCAATGAGCACATGCGAAATTGTTAAATAAAGTAACCCAGCTTGAACTCACGTGGCCCCAAGGCAGAAGAAACCAACGAAGCCTTTTTGCAAAACAAAAATAGCTTTCAATAGACCCTCATCATTAAGTGTTCTACTTTTATCTACACAGATTTGGCCAGACATGGGGAAGGAATCAGGGGAAAAAAAGAAAGTGGGGGGGGTGGGAAGCCAGCCTTTTCAGATTTATTTTTAAAAATGAATAAAAAATTTAAGGCTTAGTTTTGTTCAATGAAAGCACCAAGGGATACCTAAAGTATTCAAACATTTTTCCTGGTAATAAATGTTTAAGCATCCAAAGATAAGGAATGAGATGTTGCTTATACGGCTCTTCTCCAAGTATAATTGGAGACAAGTGAAAGATCTGCCTTGATACAATTCTGCACTGTTACCACGCCACAGACCCACAGTTTTATTCAAGCAGCTGTGCAGATACTTCTGCAAGCATATCTGCAGGAAGCTGTGGCTCTGAAAGCCATAGCAGCAGGAA